TTGTTCAGCCATGTTTCAGAGAAGGCAAGAATATCAAAGTCGACAAGTTCGGAATAAAGAATGTCAAGTTTAAAAAACTTGAATATTTAAATTGTTGAACAATAACCAAGTCTTAACTTTTTTATGAAATATCTTTTACGGTATGTAAGTTATTTAACATCTTACCTTCCTTATATTTAAAATCTATTCATGGAGGTTATTTATGTAACAATTAAATGAACTTGACATTCAGATTTTTAAGGGTATCAAATTAAGAAAAATAGAAATACTCAAACAACGTATTAAACATAATGCCCATTATGTTGGTTTTGTCATGACACGGCTCATATGTAAATTTCCGCTGCTCAAGATGTGAAGCATAACAACAGGTGTGACTATGAAAATATATATATAAAATTCAATCTTTTTTTTAAGAAAATCGAAATGTGATTCTACCCTCTTGACTCTCCTCTATATTACCCATTTTTGTTTTTGATTTCTATGCAGTCTACATCGAGATATTCTTTCCTTCGTGGGTTCTTGTGTGTTCAAAACATGCAACGGGCTCAAAATAACACAGATTTTACGAATCTCACTACAGACCGATGCTTTACATTAAGACAAATCCTGATTTAAACATTCTTTGAGATTTGGCTACAAACGAAGAAATCGCTGCTTAAAATTGCATTTGAGCTCCATATGTGCTGAAGAGATCTATAAGTGATGTAGAAAACCATCTACAAAATTATGGACAACTTCCATTTAATCATTAAAAAGCCAATGTAAAGGAACAATTAAGGTTTCTTAGCTTTGGCTGAAAGTTCAATAGTATCATTAGTGTGTTTGATCACCGCAATGACAGGGCTCACTAGCTTATGCTAGAGTTAAAAGTACTTAAAGGCCTGAGTACATGAAAATGTTGATACAGAGTGGATAGTACTCGTATGATAAACAATTCACTAATAAAGGATAATGGAACTTGGACAAGCCAAACTGAAAGTATTGAACTTTGTTAAGCCATCGTGTCATGTAATATGTTTCTATAATAATGTTTACATTCATCAAAATATTTATCACTTTAAGATTCCACAAGTTATAGCAACGAGACTGTTATGTGGAAATATCATGGCCTGATGCGACATCGAAGGGTTTTCGTTACAGAATACGGTATGGGCTGAGAACAGTGTCTGTATAGGGAAAACCCGAGATGCCGCCCCATGCAATGGTATTCTACATAATAGTCGAGTTCGATATATAATAACTGTTTTATCGCATGATAAACAGAAATGAGAATTAAATAAACATAAAATTTCAATTTATATTTGGCTTCTCTTCATAAATTAAATTCTCCACTCGGAACCTCGGTTACTTTTTATGTAACATGTCAAAATGACCGATATTGTAAACCCCACATCATATGAGCCAGTCAGAAGTATGTTTGGTGTTTCTGACTGGTTGGATGACCAAAGACACAGAAAAACATTGCTGTAAATAATTACGCCAACCGCCGTTTCATGAGCATTTTTAATGACATGCCAAAAGATGGATTTTTAAATTTATATCAATAAGTCGATTATTAACGATTATTATTATTTTCTCGGGGACATGAAATGGTACTCATGAAAAGATTCATAGAGGTAGTGCCTCCTTAGGCAAAATAACATTTATGAAAAGAATGCATGTCCGCTCAATGCGGTAAAGATTTGTTAAAGTTTCTTTAAATTCATTCAAAGAGTTACAAAGCAGGCATGAAATAAGTCAAATAGGCGTTGACCCATAATTGCGACTATGGGCATGAAGTGAACCATGTAGATATTATGCAAGGACGTTCCTTGATGTTGAAAATAAATATGCAAAGTTTCTATGATCATTTTCACTAACTTTCTTACAGCGTCATTACAAATTCAAACACACCCCACATTACTCCCCTATTAAGCAGACAGTGCAGTCGAGTGAATAATTAGTTAATTAATTAATGCATGACGGCATAAAAAGGGAATGATTGCAGTACACACGACGTCAATAAATCAAAATAAGCAAGGTCTTCCCACCATGTCTACGTATTTTCAATACCTTTCGTATGCAGAATGTCTTTTATCTCTTTCTATATGGATGCTATTTTTCAAAGTCGTCTCATGAAAATGTGTCTATTTCGGATAATAACAGGATGATACACAAAAAATGCAACTTTGAGCAGCAATTTCTTCGTTTTTAGCCAAATCTCAATAAATATTTAAATCAGTATTTGTCTGAATGTAATGAATCGGTCTGTAGTGAGATTTCGTAAAATCTCTGTTTTTTTGCCGTTTAATGACATTTTCTTAATACACAGTGCATGTTTTGGACACACTAGAACCCACGACGGAAAGAATATCTCGATGAAGACTGCATAAAAACCCAAAACAAAAATGGGTAATATAGACGAGAGTCGGGGGGTAGAATCACATTTCGATTTTCTTTAAAAAAGCATAGAATTTTACATAACTGTTTAAAAAAGTGAAAACTTACCCTGCGAATGACCTATCACATTTGGTGTTATGCTTCATATCTTGAGCAGCGGGAATTCACATACATTTTTTTACCGATGCTCATTTTTGAGATACATATGGGGTTCCAACCCCGAGATTATATTGTTTTTTTTTTAATTTCGATAAGCCCAGTCCTTGCCCCTCCCAAGTACCCTCCTATTTTTTGTTGTCATTCCAGGTGCATTACCTATGGTCATATATGACAGGGGAGCTATTATTGTGCTGCGTTTAATAAACGAACGTAACCCTCCTTTGTTGATCTTTCCTGTTATATTTTTGGGTTCTGTCTGAAAAATAATATGAATAAGTGGAGCCTTTCTAAGTTCAAAAATAACTTTACTGTTGTTTGCATTTTTATGTCCCCGAAGGGAGGCATATTTAAATCGCACCGTCCGTCTGTCTGTCTGTATGTGAGTCGCCACTTCATTCGTGTCCGAACTGTAACTTTGTCATACATTTAGGGATTTTGAAAAAGCTTGGCACAAATGTCTACCATATCAAGACGATGGGTCGCGTCCAAGAACCACGTCCCTACCTCAAAGGTCGAGGTCACACTTACATTTTGAAATTTCACATAATCACAAATAGAGTTAATAAGTACACACATTCGTGTCCAGACTGTAACGTCATGCATCAAAGGATTTCAAAATAACTAGGCATAAATGTCTTCCACATCAAGACGATGTGTCGTGTCTAAGAATTACGTCCCTTCCTGAAAGGTCAAGGTCAACCTACAATTTCGAAGTTTACTTTATCACAATTAGAGTTAATAGGTAAACACAATCGTGTCCGGGCTGTAACTTTGTCATGCATCAAATGATTTTACTATAACTTGGCATAAATGTCTACCACATCAAGACAATGTGTCGCGTCTAAGAATCACGTCCCTACCTTTAAGGTCAAGGTCACACTAACATTTTGAAGTTTCATTTTTTTACAATAAGAGTTTATATGTACACACGTTTGTGTCCGGACCGTAACTTTGTCATGCATCAAAGGATTTTAGAATAACTTGGCATAAATGGTTACCACATCAAGACGATGTGTCGCCTTTAAGAATCACGTACCTACCTTAAAGGTTTAGGTCACACTTCCATTTTGAAGTTCGCCTTATCAAAATTAGAGTTAAAGATACACACATTGGTGTCCGGACTGTAACTTTGTCATGCATGGTAGAATTCTAAAAGAACTATGCACAAATGTCAACCACAATAATACGACATGTCGCGTTCAAGACCCCTGTCCCTACCTACAAGGTCAAGAAGACACTTATAAATGTCTACCACATCAAGATGTGTCGTGGCTAAGGCTAATGTCCGTCTGTCCGTCCCCACTTACACAACAATCATTTTCAGACTGTAACTTTCTCCTGCATTGAGGGATTTTGAAATAACTATGCACAAAATGTATATCACATGACAATGTTGTGTCGCGTCCAAGAACCACGTCCCTTTTCAAAGGTCAAGGTCACACTTATGTTCTGAAGGTTCAAGCTATCACAATAAAAGATTATAGGTACACACATTTGCGTCCGGACAATAACTTTATCATGCATCGAAGGATTTTAAAATACCTTGGCAGAAATGTGTACCACACGTGTTGTGTGTAAGACCTATGTGCCAACCTCCATGGTCAAGGCCACACTTATAGTTTGAAGGTACTTATGCTCATAAGAAGAGTTTGAAGGTACACATTAGTTTCCAAATTGAAACATTGTCATGCATTGAAGGATTTTAAAATAACTTGGCATAAATGTCTACCACATCAAGATGATGTGTCGCATCCAAGAACATTGTCCGAATGTGTTAAGTTTGCTTTAAATAGCACTTCATTGCACAAGAACAATATTAAGCAATTAGTTACTTTTATTCTCTTTTCTTTTCATAATACCTGCAAAGCTTAAGAAACCTTTTCGGGGGCATTTGTCACTTGCGTGACAGCTCTTGTTACATTATATTTTAAGACAAATATATGAAAAGTAAGAAGTTTGAATAACAAATATGAAGTAACTTTTAAAAAAGCGATGTTTGCTTCCATTCAATGATAAGAAGTTTAACTTCATTAAATAACAACGATACAATGTTAACTTGTTTATCATTAAATCAATCTATCAATAAAGGCAATCAATAATATGAAGATAAAGAAGTATTTCCGTCCCTTGATCAGGTGGAAGTCGTAAAATATCACCCCTAACATTTAATCACAATCATTATAGTTCCAATCCCGAACGAATTTTCATCTCGACATCATTGTTGTGTTTATTTTATTTTAAGTTCTTTCTACGTGGTCCTTTTTCTTACTTTGTGGTTCCATATTTTTTCTATTTTTCCTTATTCAAAATTGTTGAATTATATTTAAGACCTGTTGCCTGCTTTTAAAGTTAATTTGTCTTCTGCTGTTTTGTATATGATGCGCAGGCTTCATAAGAGGTTCATTGATAACCGTCGTATTATAAATTCAAAATTCTAGCATTATGTTGAATGTTGTATTCAGCTTCAGTTGGTGCTAGGGGGCGTGTACGGTAGATTGCCTTTTCAAGTACAGTCAAGGAACATGCTCAGTCAAACCAAGCCTGGAACATTTTCAATTTTGCCGTTTACAAGTAAGTATTTTTTATTGGTTCATAATCACCGATCCTATTTCAAAATTCCATTGGATTTAGGTATGCTATTTATTTCGTTATGGTACACTTAATCTTACGCTGTTTTCATCAAATGTCATGTACATCTGCAAATGATTCAAAATTATAGTAAGTTAATATTGAATTTTGTTTTAAGATCGGTGTAATGGGCAGACGTGGACTGTAGCTTAAATTTACCACTTCGATCAATGAACTGGGCCAATCAAATCGACCTGCATCATTTTTAGTTATTCCGGTATTTGGCGTTCTTTAAGGATTCTGTGTTTTCTCTTTCTTAGCATATTATGATAGGAACTTTCCTGTCCTTTGATCTTGTAATGTTGCCTGATAACACGAATGCCTTTTCTGTGGTCCGGTACATGTGGTCAGGTAGAAACGGGCCCTCTGTGATCTGCACACATTACATATAACATGTTCACGTATACCTTCCTCTTTAACAACTTTAATGAAAATTTATGATACATGTATATAGAACGCCGTGACTGTCTTATGCTATCAATGTTTTTGCTATCTTCTGAAATGATGATATTATTTTGTCATTTAAGCATATAAACATGTGCAATTTACATCATATCTTGTCTAAAGACAATGCTGACTTGTTCAAACAGCATGTTAACTTGTCAAATAATCATTATGACATGTGCAGACAACATGTTAACTTGTCAAAGTATCATGATGACTTGTGCAAACGACATGTTAACTTGTCAAAATATCATAATGACTTGTGCAAACGACATGTTAACTTGTCAATATTTCATGATGACATGTGCAAACAGCATGTTAACTTGTCGAATTATCGTGATGACATGCTCATAATACCTTAACAAGTTAACATGTGTTTTGCACAAGTCATTACGATTCTTTGACAAATTAACATGTTGTCTGCACAAGTCATCATGATACATTGACAAGTTAACATGGCATTTGCACAAGTCATCATGATACATTGACAAGTTAGAATGTAGTTTGCACAAGTCATCACGATACTTTGACAAGTTAACATGCTGTTTGCACATGTCATCATGAAATTTGGACAAGTTAACATGTTGCTTTCACAAGTCATCATGATACTAGGACAAGTTAGCATGTTGTTTGCACATGTTATCACGATGATCTGACAAGTAAACATACTGTTTGCACATGTCATCATGAAATTTTGACAAGTTAGCATGGCATTTGCACAAGTCATCATTATACTTGGACAAGTTAACATGTCGTTTGCACAAGTCATCATGATACTTGGACAAGTTAACATGCTGTATGCACATGTCATAACGATAATTCGACAAGTTAACATGCTGTTTACACATGTACGGAAGCTTGTATGTACCCCCGCTATGAAGACATGAAGTCATCTCCCTCGACTTATAGAACACAACAAATCGTCATAATTACGACGACAAGTTTATATATACCATGTCATTTTGACAAAATATATGTCATCATGTCGCGATACGGTATCCCGACTTTCATACGTTAATATATTTGTCGACTAGAAATAACATGGATGTCGACATACATGTTACTTCAAGTCGACAAATTTATTTATGTAAGAAAGTCGGGATGCCGTATCTCGACATGATGACATATATTTTGTCAAAATGACATGGTATATATAAACTTGTCGTCGTAATTATGACGACTTGTTGTGTTCTATAAGTCGAGGGAGATGACTTCATGTCTTCATAGCGGGGGTACATACAAGCTTCCGTACACATGTCATCATTGAATTTTGACATGTTAGCATGGTATTTGCACAAGTCAGCATGATACTTTGACAAGTTAACAGTGCTTTTTGACATGTCAGCATGATACAAGATAACATGTCATTTGCACAAGTCATCACGATTCTTTGACAAGTTCACATGTTGTGTTCACAAGTCATCATGGTTATTTGACATGTTAACATGCTGTTTACACAAGTCATCATTATACTTTGACAAGTTAACATGCTGTTTGCACATGTCATCACGATAGTTCGACAAGTTAACATGTCCTATTCACAAATCATCATTATACTTTGACAAGTTAACATGGCGTTTGCACAAGTCATCATGACATTTTGACAAGTTAACATGCTGTTTGCACATGTCAGCACAATAATTTGACAAGTTCACATGACGTTTGCACAAGTCATCATTACATTTTGACAAGATACCATGTCATTTGCACAAGTCATTATTATACTTTGACAAGTTAACATGTTGTTTGCACAAGTCATCACGATACTTTGACAAGATAGCATGTTGTCTGCACATGTCATCATAATAGTTTGACAAGTTAACATGCTGTTTGTACAAGTCAGCATGTTCATTTGACAAGACATGATGTAAATTGCACATGATAACATGCTCAAACGACAAAATAATATCATCGTTTCACAAGATAACAAAAACATTGATTACATAAGACAGTCACGGCGTTCCATACATGTACCTAATCCACTACTTGTTTTACAGTAAATATGACGCCTTATACCAACTCTCTTCACATTTTCAAGATGATACTTAGTTCCCTCTCAAAAATGATGCATTATATATGGCTATAAATATTGGCTAGCGAAACATTAAAAATGAATACCTACAGCTATATATAGTATCTAGTGTTACAAACGAACCGGCAGTTGTCTCTATAAAGTAGCACATAGTATCATTAATAGATCCTATATTATTTGTAGCTACCAATAATTCAAAAGATGGTGAACCTGGTTGACGCGCGTGATAAAGAATACAATTTTTATTTACAGCATAATTTCAGCAAACACAATATACAAAATTTCTGTGCTAATAATTAAATATCTATGACGATCAATTCTTGAATGTGTGTTCAACACTTACAGAAAGCATGTTTTTTTTTAAATGTAACGTGAACAAACACACACTCGTAGTTCATATCGTTCTATCATTTTCTGTTGAAATTCTATTATATTTAAATGGTAAACAACACGAAATGTCTAAATTCTATTTGTTTGAGTTTATATCATTACATTAAGAAATAAAGATTGGATTTTGGCAGGTTGTATGACCCAATAGAAATGGTTTATATATAATAAGATCAAAGTTGTTAGGGTACGCACCCAATTATAGACGGTCATAGTACCTTTCAAAAATATTTATAACGACTTTGTAGTGCAATGCAAATACTTTCTTTTATATAAAACAAAAATAATAATGTATAAAATACTTGAATCTGTCGCGTTTATGAATGATATAAACATCACTGTTATCCAATGAAAGTCGATGTTTCCAACGCGCAGTATTGTAAAATCAATGATAAAAATATTTACTAGATATGATTACTGTGAGTGGTTTAAAGAGGACGTTGTAACGTTAGTTACATATAGTTTAATGTAAGGGAGGTAAACAGGAAATGACCAAACTTCAAAGCAGATTAATCATTAATCTATTAATCATCGGAGGGCTAGATCAAAATGTGCCCTTCCCCTTACCTTTAACTGGTAGTAATGATAAGTAACCATTATGAATATCACAGAGAAAAATACATAATTTAATTTCAAAAATAGTAGGTGTGAAATAATTTTAACAAAGACATATCTAGTGCAATATGATACAAAATTATTGTTTAACACACTTTCATATTATCATTTTCACCAAGTTCTAAATCTTAAGTTTGTAATATCAAGCTTAACAAAACTGTTAGGTCATAAACAAACGATAATAAAGTGAATAACTGTATTTAAAGAAAACAATTCATTACCATTTAAGTTTATGTTTAAAAATGGTTGCTTAACCAAACAAAAAAAAATCCATTAATAACGATAATAAAGATAATTTTTTAATATTCACATGCCAGTAACTATCATTGTATCATAGTTTGGATACATTTCTGTTGAAAGTGTGTCAGAGTTAAATTCTATACCGATAAACAGTGCGCTAACTAGAGTGCTGTAACATGCACTCCAGTTACCGCACTGCCTGTTGATGATATATATAGAGCATGATTGGCTACGTTATTTCCGACGTTTACTTATTATGACGACTGGGAAAAGGATAATGATAGAAGGACATATTCAGATGCTCGTACATTGGTTCATTTATTTTCATGTTGCGGTGACAGGGAAACTGTTTTTTTTCGTATATGATACAATAACAATATCTGCCATATGTTCTGGTTCCCGAGGGACGGATATTCCGATCCGACGACAAACATGTCAGATAGTTTTTCTTGCGTTTTCTAGCATATTCCATTTTATTTTAATTTCTTAACCTTGATTAAACAATTTTCCGTGGCAATTTATGTCATATTACATCGTAACTTTTTCTAACAACAGCGTATGAAATAACTTCATTCATAACGGCGAAATTACGTCATTCTAAGCATGCCATTGTAACACCCGACTAATTCGGCATCCCCCATGCCATTTGAAACTTCCAGCATGGGTAAAAACTATCATCTAAAACAATCAGTAAAAAATATGCAAGAAAAGAGAAATTACATCAAAACACTTGGATATCTGTTTGACACTCGGGAGCTACGCCCCTTCGTACAAATCAGATGGCTTCGTGTTTCGATGCTCTTTCTATTACTTATTTTCATATTCATTTCAGTATCATTTCTAAATCGTGTTATATACACAAAATTCAAGACAATATATTTCATAATTTATGAGTTCTTTTAATAAACTAACCATGATTTGTATTTTTGTTCCTGTAATACAGTTTAACGCTCATGGTCACTGTGACCTTAACCTTTATGCACATGTGCCCAAAATGAAAGAGCTTCTCTTATCAAGGATGACTAAGAAGGCAAAATAGGTCAGTTTGTTTTCATTTAATTGATTGGAAACTGTTTAAAAATAGGGGTCTCTACTAAAAAAGCCACTAAATAAGGGTGGTAATCCTTTAAAGTTTGAATGCTATAGGTCAAATATTTTTCTAGTTATTGAGCGGAAACGGTTTTCACATTCAAAGTCACTGTTTTCTAGAATAAGGGTGATCATTATATCAAACTTGAAGGATGCGGGTCTAATGTATCTTTACATAAAAAGGGAAAACGTTTCACTTTCAACCTAACTGTGACCTTGATCTTTACGCAAAAAAAAAGATGTCTCCTACTCAATGAGGCTGATTATCCTTTCTACGTACTAGGCGGAAAAGGTTTTCACATTTAATGATACTGTGACCCAAACTTTCACACATGAGCATCCAAAAAACATTAGAGGCCTTTTACTGAATAGAGGTAATCAGGCTATTGGTAAATGATTCTCAAGTTATTGAGCGGAAACCGTTTCATTTTTACCACGACCTTCAAGCATCGGTGCCAAAAAAGTAATAACGGTCTTTTATACAACAACGGTGATCATTCTATGAAATTTGAAGCTGTGGTTCACATGGTTCTCAATTCATTGATCGGTAAGGTTTGTGACTATGACCTCCAACCACTAACGCCAAAAGATTAAGGTTTTCTACGCAATACCCTATGACTTTGAAGGCTTTGTCAAATGGTTAACTAGTTATTGAGATAAACCGAAGTTGTCAACCGACCGACCACAATTTGCAAAATAATGCCCCCTTTTAATTAAGAGTTCATTACAAAATATCATAAAAGTTTTATATGAAATATAAGCCTTAAAAAGTAAAAAAAGTTTAATTATAATCATCGTCATCAGATAACAAAGTCAAGTAAATCATTTTATTTGTAATCATTGCTGAGTGATAGCGGAAATTATAAGCATTTTTCCTTATTCATGTATTCAGTAATAGAAAGAGCATCGAAACACGAGTCTGTCTGAATTGTACGAGGGGCTTATTGATCAGGTTGCCGTGTGTTTTGATGCTCTTATAGGCAAACATAAAAACACATTCCCTGTTGCCACAATATGTAACCCTAGAAAAATGTAACCAATGAACGAGCCTCTGAATATGACTTTTCTATCGTTATTCCTTTCTCTGTCGTCACCTTGTGTAAACCCAAGAAAAAATGAGCCAATCAATGAGCATGCTACGAACTGCGGGTAACTAGTACATACACTCCAGATAACTCACACTGCATGTATGTGTATCCGATTTAAATCTGACACATTTTCAACAGAAAGGTCCCCCAAACTATGATAAAATATACCATTATCAACTTCCCAAAGTATTATATTTTCATCACAAATATCATCATATCTTATTAAGAGTAGTATTACTACATTGGTTAACACACCATAATAGGTGAAAACCCTTTATAACCAACAGAAACGAATGCATTACAAACTTACTCTAATCAAATTGTATAAATGAGATAAATCCGGGGCTATTTTATTTGTAGATCACACATTGTATTGAATACTTTTTCTTTCAGATTGAAGATTTGATTTTTACCTATTATTGCCGAATCCTGATACACGATTTCCTGTTTCCTTCGATTGAAGAACAAAACGAAGCCAACTCTTTCATTTGCTTGAATTCACATTGAAAAGTGCAATACTGCAAGGATTTATGATTGTTTAAAAACCCTAAACACAGCTAATCACTTCATAAGTTTAGTAAACAGAATGGTGAAACTTTTCACGATACGACGGTTACAGAAATACACGATTTTTGCAACTTTTACATTTTTCGTGTTAACAATATTCACACATTTATTTGTACATTTTGAGCAAAGTGACACGGAATATTTCAATCTGGATAATTATGCTTTTTTTGAAGATGCTAAGGATTTAAAGTATCCTGTTAAGGTACAGCCTTATTTATTTCGACTTATAAATGCTTCTAATCCAAGTGTTCCTTTAACTGTAAGTGCACCATATCTTATTGAGAACCCTAATCTCTGCCGTTCTGTGAAGCATCTAACGGTGCTTGTTGTAGTTAATTCAGCGACAGACCATTTTGAACAGAGACAAAGCATAAGAACAACCTGGACAAACGACACGTATTATTCGTATTTAGCAACAGTCAGAGTTGTGTTTCTTGTCGGCAGAACTGTGAGTCAAGTTGTCCAATCTGCGCTTGAAATGGAGTTTGAAAAGTATAAGGATATTGTACAAGGAGATTTTATAGATTCCTACAACAATCTTACACATAAAGGTGTGATGGGGTTTAAATGGATTACGGAGAGATGTCGAAATGCGGAAATGATTCTGAAAGTAGATGACGACATTGTAGTTAATATGTTTCTATATATCTATAAATTAAAACATTCTGAAGCGCTGCAAAAGGCAAACGTATATTGTGAATACAAATCTGATATTGTAGAAAGAGATGTTACATCCAAATGGTATGTTGATGAAAATCATTTCAAGGGAGTAAAAAGATATCTGGAATTTTGCAAAGGAAAATTTGTGAGTATGACGAATGATATAATGCCATCTTTATATCTCGCCGCTTCGAGGTCGCCGTTTTTTCATCTCGATGACGTTTTGTTGTTTGGATATGTCCTGCATAAGATTCCAGGATTGAAATATCAAACGTTCAGTGACGGAGATTGGCAGGGAAAAACTAATGCAGTAAAACACTGTTTGGATGTCAAACGGGAAAAATGTACATACATTGCTATGCAGGCAAGTTATAAGGAAGACGTATCAACCATTTGGTCAAAAGTGGTCAGATACTTTAGAAAACGCTGTTAATTAGAGGTTAATTCTTGGTTACAACACGCCATTATGCGATAATTGCCCAAAGATGTACATTTTAATAGTATCCATCAATTGTTAGACGAAAAATGTTTCCAATTATTCCTATAATTAAGCAAATTTTCTACACCAAAGCAAATAGACCACAAGAATTCAGCTATTCTATTTGAAGAAAGGAAATCACGATTTTCAACGATTTTTATCAGGCAAACAGACATTTCGGCGCTCATGACTATTTAATAAAAATTAAAATCAATGCTGACTGCATCAAACTTACACTCGAACTATCTATCTATGTGATTTTTGTTTTTGTTGTTGTTTTTTTCCTCACGCAAAATCAATGACTTGTCTGACTTTACAGATAATGATGAGATGTTGCTTGATTGATATGTACATAAATATTAAAGAAAAATCACACGAAAAAATTGGCCATCTCAGTCGGGACTTGAACCACGGGTCTCTTATTGATTTCCAACTTATGCTTACCAATGCATCACAGTGGCAATTGGGTTTACACCTTATATATTTAAGTTATTTTAACCTTATTGTGACGTCATTTAATGGACTGGAAAGTGAGACCTGTTTAATGATCTACTATTTAAGGTGAACTTTACTGTAAGTTTACTGAAATAAACAAACAGGCAATTACAATTTATTATTGAAATACTACTTTAATTGACTGTTGACAAATTATAATATGTAAATCAAAAACGTGTTACATGTCATTTTGATCTAACATCGGTAGAATATCATGAATGTATGTATGTTTGTACGTACGTACGTTTGTTTGTGGTTTTTTTAGTTTTTGTTTTTTTCTCACGGAAAATCAATGACTTGTATGACTTTACAGATAATGATGATTTTGGCAAATGCGTTTTTGTATTCAGATGTTGTATGTATGTATGTGTGTATGTATGTATGTATGTATGTATGTATGTATGTATGTATGCATGTATGCATGTATGCATGTATGTATGTATGTATGTATGTATGTATGTATGTATGTATGTATGTGTTTTGTTGTTGTTCTTATATTTTTTCTCACGCAAAATCAATGACTTATCTGACTTTACAGATAATGATGATTTGGCAAATGCCTTTTTTGTATTCAAATGTTTTGATATGTTTGCTTGAAATATTACACACAAAAAAACACATGAAAAATTGGCACGCTGCAGCCGGGACTCGAATCATGGATCTCTGGATTGCCGATCCAGTATGCAAACCATTACAATGCAAACCATTTCGTATCTAAATTATTTTTTAATTATTGTCACATCATATACTCAACTGGAAACTGGAAAGAGAAGTAGATCGGGTTAACGATCTAATGTGTAAGGTGAAATGTACTTTACGTTTACTGAAATTTATTGACAACCAGTTGACTTTATATATGTATTTATGTGTGTTTTATTTTTTCTAACGCAAAATCAATGACTTTTCTGACTGCACAGATAATGAAGATTTTTGCAAATGCCTTTCTGTATTTAGACGTTTTAATATGCTTTTGATATGTTGTACCATAGCGGCCATTGCGTTTGTTCCTTATATATTTTAATTACTTTTAACTTATTTCGACTTTATATAATCGACTGGAAAGTGAACACGGGTTTAAGGTGAACTATAATTTAGGTTTACTAAAATAAACAAACATTTATATAAAATTTATTATTGAAATAATACTCTAATTTACCGCCCGTTGACAAATAAAAAAACAGATAGAAAGCTCGTTACATGTCATTTTGATCTACCATTGGTAAACATCAATCAATTTTTAGACGACAAATATTCAATTTGTACTGAATTCCTGTAATTTAACAAATGTTCTTCACCAAACCAAATAGACCACAAGAATACAATTATTACAAAAAATCAAAATCACGATTTCTAACGATTTTATAACGGGTCATGGTTTTTAAATAAACAATTTTAAATCAATTCTGACTGCTTCAAACTCGGCATATGTATGTATTTATGTATGTGTATTGTTGTTTTTCTTTATATTTTTTTCACGCAAAATCAATGACTTATCTGACTTTGCAGATAATGATGATTTTGGCGAATGCCTTTTTGTACTCACATGTTTTGATATGTTTGCTTGAAATATATATAAATATTACAGAAAAAAACACGGAAAATTGGCACGCTGCACCGGGACTCGAATCATGGGTCTCTGGATTGCGGATCCAGTGTGCAAACGACTTCACCACAGCGGTCATTACATATCTAAATTATTTTTGAATTATTGTCACATCATATAATCAACTGGAAACTGGAAAGAGAGATCGGGTTAACGATCTAATGTTTAAGGTGAAATGTACTTTACGTTTACTGAAATTTTTGAAATAATACTCTTATTGACCACCAGTTGCCATATGTATGTTTTTATGTGTGTTTTATATTTTCTAACGCAAAATCAATGACTTTTCTGACTGTACAGATAATGATGATTTTTGCAAATGCCTTTCTGTATTTAGACGTTTTAATATGCTTTTGATACTTTGTACCATAGCGGCCATTGCGTTTGTTCCTTATATATTTCAGTTACTTTTAACTTATTTCGACTTCATATAATCGACTGGAAAGTGAACACGGGTTTAAGGTGAACTATAATTTAGGTTTACTAAAATAAACATCATATATATAAAATTTATTATTGAAATAATACTCTAATATACCGCCCGTTGACCAATAAAAAAAATGGATAGAAAGCTCGTTACATGTCATTTTGATCTACCATTGGTAAACATCAATCAATTTTTAGACGACAAATATTCAATTTGTACTGAATTCCTGTAATTTAACAAATGTTCTTCACCAAACCAAATAGACCACAAGAATACAATTATTACAAAAAATCAAAATCACGATTTCTAACGATTTTATAACGGGTCATGGTTTTTTAATAAACAATTTTAAATCAATTCTGACTGCTTCAAACTCGGCCTATGTATGTATGTATGTATTTTGTTGTTGTTCTTACGCAAAATCAATGACTTATCTGACTTGACAGATAATGATGATTTTGGTAAATGCCTTTCTGTATTCAGATTTCTTATAATATATATAAAATTACAGAAAAAAACACACGAAAAATTGGTACGCCTTAGTCGAACTTGAACCAAGAGTCTCTGGATTGCCGATCCAGTATGCAAACCACTACACCACAGCGGCCATTTCGTATTTAAGTTATTTTTGATTTATTGTCACATCATATAATCAACTGGAAACTGGAAAGTTAGATTGGGTTAACGATCTAATGTTGAAGGTGAAGTATTGAAATAAACAAGCATGTAGTTGCAATTTATTATTGGAATAATACTCCAATTGACCACCAGTTGACTTATCTATGTATTTATGTGTGTTTTATTTTTTCTCACGCAATATATATCACTTATCTGACTTTACAGATAATGATGATTTTGACAAGTGCATTTTGTATTCAGATGTTTTGATATGTTTTCTTGAAATATACATAAATATTACAGAAAAATCACACGAAAAATGGCACGCCTGAATTACCGATTCAGTATGCAAACCACTACACCATAGCGGTCATTGCGTTTCTCAGATATTTAAGGTATTTAGAAAACTTATTGTGCCTTTATATAATCAACTAGGAAGTGAGACTGAATTAACGATCTACTGTTCAATCAGTTTACTGGGATAAACAAACATGTTTTTTTACAATTTATTTTTGAAATAGTACTATAATTGATCGCCTGTTGACAAATTAAAATTTGTGAGTTTAAAGCATTTGATTTAACATATCAATCAATATTTAGACGGAAAATATTTGGTTTGCAAAGCAAATAGACCACATTTAAACAAATATTACAAAAAATCAAAATCAAAGTTATCAACGATTATTTAACGGATAAACAAAACATGTCTGCGCTCATGATTTTATATGTGTAATTTGAATAAATGCTGACTGCTTCAAAATTTCGGCGCTCATTGTTTTTAACATTAACTCAATGCTGACTGCAACAAACTTACACTCGGACTATCTATTTATGTGTTTTTAATTTTTTTCTCACGCAAAATCAATGACTTGTCTGACTTCACAGATAACGATGATTTTGGATAGTGCCTTTCTGTATTTAGATGTTTTGATATGCTTGCTTGAAAACAGAAAAAAAAACACATGAAAAAAATATATAAATATTACAGACAAATCACACGAAAATGGCGCACAGCAGCCGTGTCTCTGGATTTCCGGCCCAGTATGCTAAAGACTACACCACAGCGGCTGTTGCGTTTTCTAGTTAATTTTTAACCTTATTGTGACGTCATATAATCGACTGGAAATGTGAGACCGACTTTATCTCGCCCTAGTACTTAAAAGTCGGCACAGCATATGTTTAGCCTTAAATTTAAAAACAAAAATTAATGAAAATAGACATTAAATTATGAAGATGTCTTGGCAAGTTAAAGTTTAAACCACTGAAGCTTTTATACGTGTTTATTTACCAGACGTATTATGGCATTCCGTAGTCCGTCCGTCTGTCTGTCTGTCCTTCAGTTTGTCCGTAGACAATTGGTTTCCCTGGCATAACATTTGAAGGATTTCAGTGATTTTGTTTACACTAGGTATGTTAATATATAATTATAAAACACAGGTCAAGATCAATTTCTGATAAATAGAGTTAAAAGGTTTTTAGTAAAATTATTGGTTTCAGCAGAATAATGTTTGAAGGATTTCAACGATAACGTTTCTATTAAGCATGCAAGTATGTTATATCAAAAACAAAAGTTCATTGTTCCAAGTTCATTTCAATTAACTTACTATTATAATAGTTATGCCTCTTTTTCAGCAAACTTTCTGTGAATTTACCAGTTTTCTAAGAAAAACTGTGAAAGGATTTCACTGAACGTGTTTAAATCATGCATGCAAGTATAGTTTTCTACAATCAAGTTATACACCTGGCGTATATTGCACCGCCTCAGCTGAGCTCTTCTTGTTATTGTTTTCTGAGATCTAATTATTAACGCAAAATTGTGTTGAATTTATATGTTTCAGTACAAAACAATATAGAATCTTAAAGTGCCAGTTATCATCCTTTACTTATTATTTGACATGCTTATGCTTTCTCTGCAATAAATAGTTTTTTTTTTGTTTGTTTCTTTTTTTACAATTTTTGATAGATTGTTTTTATAAAATCTTATTTCTGGTATTTGATTTATTAATAAAAGGTAACATGTGTGTATTTTATCTATGAAATAAAATTGCTAGTTTTTTATATCTGGTCTTATCTTCAAACATGCCCTGTAGATAACCTGTTTTGAAGGTGTTCCATGTAATCAGAACACCGTGGGATAATAGCATTTTGTTTTAAGATTTAAAGCGAAAAGACAGGATAATTTCATCTGTTAAAACTGGAACGTCGACACTTATTATTGTAACAAGTATGCTTAAATGAAAGGAATAAAGAATGAAACAAAATAACCAACCAAACTCACTTATAATCAAATAGATTTCGAACAGCCTTATCGGTACAATTATAAACATCCATCTAATAAAGTTAAGTTTTCCGATTTAATCTGTCAATGAAAGATCAAGTAAGCGTCGTTGTAAAAAAGGGCAGATAAAGAAGGCATCCGAGTTTATGTTAACTATTAATAGATCACTTATTGAATTTCGTAACTGATTTATTACACGCAAGTTGAATGAAAACTTTTGAATCATTATTATGTGATCAGTCGAATATGTAAGTTGAAAAGGCCACTGTATACAATCAAATTCATTCTTAGTGCACACAATATATTTTGTACGGTGTAACGTCAGTATGCGAACGAACATCAAAGTTTTAGACAAATGTTTACATAGCTTTGTAGTAAGATAGATATGATCGAGTAACTTTCAAGAACTTTTTGAAACACTTCCCACACTATCGACTACTTGAAATATTTAACTGAATTACATATTTTCTAGGATTTATCTAAAGGCCTCAACAGACGATAGGATTTTGAAGTACAACACCAATTAAAACTAAGATGTACCGGCAAATCTTAATGTGTGAAGGATATTATTTCTTGATTTCAGAAACCTTATGTCTAGATGTAAGGGATAGGACATGTTCTATTTTGAAAATCTTGTCGTACAGATTTTTACAAACCTCCCACAATGACAAGTAACAGATAACCAAATTATCTCCTGATAATGGGTTTAATGAATGAAATTCCAGAACAATTAGGGCTAAAAGGTAAACATAGTAGTAAGATGGGGTAAAAATGATGTTGAAAAACTCTTCAGGAGACCCAAAGTTGTGTTATGTTCGAATCCCAAATTATTCCAAAAATGATTATGTCACGGTATTGAATTGCTCTCTAATTAGGGGAGGGGAGGTAGTTTGTAGGCGGCCAGATAGCTTTGTCAGTAGAGCCGCAGTACGGTATTCCGAGGGTCCCAGGTTTGAGTCTCGGTCAGGCTTCACAATAAAAATTATATATATATATATATTTTAAATGGAGGTGTTTCAATCATTACTCATGGCGAAAAAAGTATTTAGTGAGTAAAGTATGTAAAGGATCAATGTAAAGGGATCCATTTTAGGGGAAACCTCAGATGATCCTTACAGTGTAGATTTACCGTCTGAATGCAAGTGTTGTATAGCTTTGAAAATTGTACATCTTATCTTATTGCTGTACAACTAAATCCTACCGTCTGTTGAGGCCTTAAGTCATCATATAACATTTCATCATGCAACTGCTATGGTAACTACCGGATAAAACACTTGCCTGATAATTATTTTTGATATCAGGTTAGTAACTGATATTAAAAATTAGCCCCGCCCATTTCAAAGGACATTTTCAATAGCTTATAGGCCTATTCTCATTTTTATCAACCTTCGAATTCTATAATTTTTTAGCTCATACCCTGACAAGTCTGAATCAAGATGTGATATTTATTTTTTTTATTTCGTTTTCAATTACGAACAAATTAGACAGCGAATAGTTAAGCTCCAACTTAATGAAGTGACGTCATAATTTATTTCGCAAATGACACCATCGATGTCGACGTCATATTATAAACATAATAAACAGGTTGGAGAACTTGTGAATATTTCCTTTGTTTGCCTGATTGTTATTGAAATAAGTGAGCAAATAGTTTTGTTAAAAAATAAGACGCATGTTAGCGTATTTTGTATTTGATTGCCGATTTGACTTTGGTTGAAACTGAAATAATGGTGAACTTTTGAATTTGACATGTCAAGGGAAAAAGTTATAGAACTGTCGCGATTGATTATAAAGGGATTGACAATACAAACAATCGACTTACCTTCCACGTCTGGATCGTAGCCAAGCTAGGAATTGCCTAATTTTTCAAGTTATATATTACACTAATATGGCACCCAACTGTTAAGCCTAACTCTTTAGTTCCAGTCGCTTCGGAAGCTTCCGTTTACTTTCGTCAACTCCCGTAACCAGTACCATACGTACTACACTCCTCCCGTCCTATTCTTTAGGAGGGGTCTGTGGCTCCAGGAAGTTAACCAAGCACTGACGCCTCTCTAGTCCAAGGGCAGACTAGAGCTTCCCGGTTCATACCGATACTGGTACTTGACCATGATGCCAGAGGGCTGGACAACATGGCCTACTTGACTGAACCGTACCGATTTCAGCCAAGCCTCAAACCCAGACACTCAATGGCTGTCAGACACTTTAGGAAAGCTAAGGAGTTGGGACTCCTCTGCTGACAAGCTGAACATGGCTTTCAGATTGTCTTCCTGGTGTCTTTCCAGCATGGATATCAATGACAGTAGACAGCGCCACTGCAACAAAACTGTCACAGCATTACCTTTACCTCTGGGGTGAGATCTTGGGCAAGGGTACCCTAAGAACCTCACAGAACTCCTTCGCTGCTTTCCTGTGATTACTGGTGGCAAGGTTCCTGAGAAACCGGAACAACAGCACACTCCAGGTAAGTTACCAGGTCAAACAAAGTGCTATTAGACCCCAATAACCAACTGATCACCAGCTTCAAAGCACCAATCCTTCTGTTCGTAATGCTTTCACCTGTCAAACACATTTGGAATATGCCAGGGAGGTGGGCCTCTATGGCATGTCTCTGGGTAAGATCCTCAAAACATCCCGGCACTGGGCACCGAGATCCTTGCTGGCCACAGGGAATATCCTCTAAATCTGTGCCAGCAACGGAACATCTACATATCAGGAATGGCCCTGATATCAGATGTTCGGTCTCTAACGCAACCTATACTTACCTTCTCTTCCCCTCCACTGAAGATTTGGCCTTCAGAGAGGGACTGTTGACCATGCTCACCGACCTTATTGGCAAGGACCCGGCTGGCCATCTGCATCTGATTGGTT